ACCCTAGAAGTTACAAGTCAGCTCAATGAACATACTAACTGTGGAGAGAAACAAGCAGGTGAGTAGTTTGTTTTGCTTTGTTTTATTAACAACTACCAAATAATAATTTGGAAAAAACAGACCCAGCCATCGTGAGAGCTCAAGCAGCTCTGCCGTGCATTCACCCTTTTATGGACCAGCACCTGTGTTGTGAGGGATGTGACTGAGTTGTTCTCAAACTCTTCAAAGTTTCATTATTTGCCTCTAAACACAAATTTATTTGTTTTCTCCTCCAGTGCTATTCAGGTGGAGAGACCATCTGCATGTAGTTTATGGCTAAATTGCCTAAACCAACAAATTAAACTTTCATGATGTGGTCACATTACCCTACATCTCAAATCCCTGAATAATCATAAATCCTACTGTCCAGGGTGAAATCTTGGTCAAAATACCTATGTGCCATAAGGATAAAGTCAATTCCAAGTCAATAAACACTTACAGAGCCCCTACTATGTGCAAGATCCAGCGCTGGGTGTTGGGGTGGGATGGGGACGCAAAGATAAACAAGATGAAATCTCTTACTCATAACGATCAAAATCAAGTGAAGGAGAAAGACACGGACATAGAGGAGACACTGTGAGTTAAGCTCTCACATGAAGAATCCTGGGACACAGGAGTCAGGTCAAAGGAAAGTGTATGTAACCATCTTGTCAGTTAAAATAGCCACTGAACCTTGAAATGGATTCTCTCACAATATTGCAGGGAGCCTTGGATGATTTCCGAGAGATCAGACCAGAATGCATCATTCACAGGCCATCCTTATCACTGGCAGACTCTTAAATGCTGTGCCTGACTGTGCACTGAAGATAAGTGCAAAGACCAAGACAGACCCTGACCTCACAGCACCTACATCCTAGTGTGGGGGAGACAAACAAAAACATTCAAATAAAATACAATAATTATAAATTGTAGTAATTATTACAAAGAAATCAGAGAAGAAGCTGAGCTAGAGAGCAAGACAAACTCTACATCCTAGAGGTGGTCAAGGAGGACCTCTTTGAGCAACTGACATTTAAGCTATGACCTAAAGCTGTGACTCTTAGCCCCAGCTAAAAATTAAAATGATCTAAGAAGCTTTTAAAAGTACCAATACCTAGGCCTCACCTCCCAGAGATTCTAGTTTAATTTGGGCATCAATATGAACTCTCCTGATCATTCTAATGGGTCACAACCACTCTAATAATGAGAAAGAGGTGCCTGGGGAGAGTAGGAGGAAGGACATTCCGAGCAGAGGCAACAGTATATGCAAAGACCCTGATGTGGAAAAGAGCATGCCATGTTTAAAGGCGTGAAAGAGGATTAATGTGTCTGGTGTGTAGTGGTAGCAGGAAAAAAACGGTGCAAGATGAACATTCTCAGAGATGGACACACAATTACTAAGCTCATAAAGAGACTCTTACATGAGCCCAAGAGTCAGTTGGTTAATCTGCAGTAAGAACTCCATCTGCCAAGGGGAAATCCTTGAATCCTCTGACAAGCACATTATTGTCTTCTAGAAAATTCTCCATGGAAAGAAAGCCAGATCACCATCATGATATTATTAGATAAGCAGGACATCAAAAGATTTAGGGCAGCTAATAAAAATGCATACATCTTAGCAAGATAAAACAAAATTTTTAAAAATAAATAAAAAGATGAGGCCAAAAGAAGTAAAAATAAAAATTAAGCTAAAACCAAGGGATGAGATTGATATGATTCTAAGCTTATAAGCAACCAGTATGAACCAGCAAACACTACCACATAGAAAACTGAGTGCCCGCTGGATGAAAGGGAGTGTACTGCTCAGGATGGCGAGGTCTTCCTGGCTTCCCAAGGTGCTAAGAATAAAGAGGAACTTGGCACCTGAATTCTCATAGAGAGGACATTACAATAGAAGTAAAACGCCAACCTTAAACTAAACACAGCCAGCAACAAGTCTTGTGAGGTAGTTCCTTACATTTTCTCTCAATGTAGGCCGATTTTATCTCACGAAACTATCAACTTAAAGCAATTCCAGGGAGCACGTAGGGGAGGATGTGAGAGAGCAATTAATACACTGTGTGCTATCCTGGGACACTGCTTTGATTGACGATTTAATGCAGAGATGAAGATCGACTTCAGATATGCTTCAGAAAATTCAGGATGAAAGAGCTTCTAAAAGATTTGGAGTGGCAAAGACTTCAAAATTGGTTGTATGTCCAGCTAGAGATCCAGTGGTTCTCTCAGTGTCCCAGTGTTCCTTGAGAAAGCAGAGGAGTTGGGTAAGGACAGCTGCCTGCATGGACAGCAACCCCTTTTGGAAACAAAGCAAGAGACACCACAAGCACAGTTTATAATAAGTTCAGGGCCTCAGGCCTTGAACAGTTTCCCCACAAAGGGGCCTACATACTCCAGAGTCAGGACAGATGAGTGTGTCTACAGGCATTCCCACCTCATCCAAGATGGTTCTGGAAAGAGCATTACCAGGTCTGGCTGCAAGACTCCCCTTTCTCTCTTGGCTTCTCGTCTGACCACCATTAGTCTTCTGATGGACTTGCTCTCTCTCTGTATGTATAGTTTTGGATGTTCTCATATAGTCAGGGTTTGTGTTTCTTCCTGCTCTTGAAGGTGAGAAACCGTTTTTCTTATTGCTTCTTATACACCTCTAATTTTTACATATAATTTATTCTCAGAGAGGATTTTTTTGGGATGGGGTAGGAGGGATTTGAGGACAGCTAGTTATCTAACTTTCTTCTTTTCATCTCTCTCTCTCTCCCTCTTTCCTTTCCTCCCCTGTCTTCCCCCTTATCCTCATTCTTTTAACAGACAGGATTAGTGGTAAGGAGAAGAAGTAAATGACTTAAAATACGTGTACACACTACATGCTTACAGACACACACACACACACACACACACACACACACACACACACACACACACACACACACACACACACACACACACACACACACACACAAACATCCTGGTGTGTCAGTTCTGATACTACATAGTCCAGTCTTGGAACAGAGGTGAGGAAAAATCCTGGGGAATTCAGAATGTGGGAAGGAAGGAAACTTCAGGTGTGGAGGTCCTAGACCCTTACCAGGAACCAGACCCTTGTAAGAAGCCATACTCTGGGGAGCCTTCCATGACTACTACCTTTCTCCACCACAAATGGTGTTATATGCCTTCCCTTGAACTCCCACAGACCCTTAAGCTAACACCGCCAGAGCGCTCACTAAACAGCCCCGTAATATCCAGTTGAGAGGCCCTCGAAGCCCAAGGCCTGGCCTTGCTCACTGGGGCATCTCAGGCACTAAACAGTCACTCAAGAATCATTTGCCGAACAGCAGATTGCTTCTCTCATCTAATCTTCACAATAGCCCTATGTAGTAAACATTTTTAAGTATATTTCACAGCCAGCGAGACCTCAGCTGGTAAAACAAAATTCTAAAACCTAAGAAAAGCAAAACAAAGATTCACCCCGTCCATCTCTCTTGGCTCTTCATACCACTGTCTTCTGACTATGGAGAGCTGGGCCACTGTGGGGAGGGAGGGGCAGCCCGACAACAGGCCAAGGGTCCACTTCTCTCTCCTGAATGCCCCTCCTCTGAGATTCCTGGGCAAAAACAATTCCATAAAGGTCTCAAAAACACTTTCATTTGAAATGTCCTCTGATACAGCAGAAGAACAATTTATTTTCTCTTTAACAGTCTCCTAAGAACAATGACCTCTCTTATTGAGGATTTTAAAATAACAGGACAACCTTGTGTACCCTGAACTCATGCATAAGCGGTATTTTTGCTCATTGTAAAGATGCTCTGCCCTTTATACCAGATAGAACTCGTAAAGACAATGGTACTTGCAATAAATAGTAAATCTTGGAAATATTGCCATATCGATGTTTCCAAAACACTGCCATATCATTTCCTAAATTATTTTTACCCTGTATTAGTAAGATTCCTCCGTTCTTACTATTAGCTTATTAACTGAAATGATTTAGATTTAGTGGGTAGCTTTCAATGTTTACACATGCCCTCATTTGTGAAATGCCACCTAATAAAATATTTCAAGGGGTTCTGAAGATGGAAAACATGTACTAAAACCTTGTTGAAAGCTTTGAGTTTCAAACTCAGGACATTAATTACACAGTAGTTATTACCCAGTTCCTCACTGGGTGATGAACAACTATATTAAACCGAAGCATGCATTCCTTCTGATTGAGACATTTTGTGATGGGGATTATAAAATGTTAGCATTTGATAAGAGAAAGCTTAATTCTGATGTGTAATACATCCGTGTAAAATACATTAATATAAAATACTCTTTTAAATTCTAAACATTAAAACATCTTAGAAATGCCACCGACCAGAAATCACATAAATGATTTCCTCCTTTTGTATTTTAATTCATTATAAACAATAGCTTCCCTAACCAGATAAGAATATCAGTTCAAACGTCTTCTAGATTCCTTCTTATAGCCATAAACATAAAAACATAATTTCTCCTGCTGTTATTCTCATTATCTATTTTCTCTTTAACTGTTTTAATGTAACATAACATATTGCTTTTTGTTTCAGTGACTGTTAGGTTCTCAGGATTCTCATCTGCCATTTTTATCCCGGTTTGTTTGCCCTGTGTAACTGTATTTATCTAGCAAACATTTACATACTTGTTCATTTTATTGCAGAGCCATAATTCATAACCGTGTAGGGTCTTGTTACAGAAGATAGCACTCAAAGTAATCATTCAAGCTGCAATTCTAAAATTAAGATAGAATTTTTTTTTTATCCGTCAAAGCACAGCTAATGTAGTCAAATGACCATCCTCCTTGGTAGTTGGTGCACTTTTTCAACATTGCAGACATTAGTCAAAGCACTTCTAGAACCATTTTACAACATCTTTCAGACACAGTTTAATAAGCTACAAAAGAAAACCAGTATCACTGCATTCTATTCACAACTTGTTTTGGACCCAAAATATAATCTGGCTTGGTCACCCACCTTATTTGCTGGATGTAGCTCCCAAGGGCTGTCTCTCAAAATCAGATCTACCCAAAAGGCAAATATTTGCTAGCACTGAAGAAGTTTTAAAAGAATGTGCCTCATGCTCTGAGGGCAAATCCAGAAGAGAGTTTGAAACATGATTTGAGTGAGAGCAGCGTCTTTGAGTCAAGTGCGCGAACTCCCAGGGGACTTCTGCAAAACATACAACATTTGCTCTGATGTAGAAATTCTGGTTTGTTTAAAAAAGAAGGAGAAGGCCATCACTGCTTCTTCTCATATTCATATTTTACTCGTTGCCTTGATAGAGATCTTCGGTTTGGGCACAAACATCTCAGGGTAACTGCAACTCAGCACACCTGCTTAGAGCGGGGGTTGCAAACGTTTCAGTTATAAGACAAGGCTCATTGAGAGTTAACTTGCATCTTTTCAAAATAACAGATCTCCCACACAGTTCCAGAGGGAACAGGTTGAAGCTTATACCCTAAGGCAATCTGAAATTAGTAAGAACGAGGCCTTGATCTTCCCATCTGGAAAAAGGGCTTAATAATATCTACCTTGAAAGGGTTTTGTATAAAAGCTGTATTGTCCTCGGAATATAGTAGACACTCACTACATGGTAGCTATTATTAGCCACTCTTGTTTTGGACTTCGGTCTCTGGAGTTTTTTCCCTTCATCCCAACCCCCTCTTTGAATAACAACTGTTGAATTTCAGAATTTGAGAAACTTTGCCAGGCCCAAATTCTGCTTTAATAAAGTCATACAAGCTTACGCATCATGCATATGATTCTAATGTTATGTGTTTATTGTTTCCACAGTTTAAAAAAGTCTAGAAATTTTTAAATCAGGTTGTTAATGCTACTTTATTCCTTATGCAAAATCTGAACAGACTCTTCAGAAATGCTTTCTGAACTCATCTGCTCACCACACTACAAACACCTTTAGATAAATGAGTTTATCCTTTCCTTTCTCTTTCAATAAATATTTATTGAACACTTGCTATAAAATTTATTGAGCACTGTGCTAGGTAGGCTCTACAGAAACAGCTGTGAAAATAACCACAAAAATAAAATAACCTGCTCTCATGATCTCACATCTACTGGAAAGGAAAATTAATGAAAATGATAATTTAGTAATATAGAATATGCAGTATGCTAATTACTGAAAGGAAAATAAAGCAAGGTAAAGGGATAGGAAGCTTGGGTGAGATGCTCACTAAAAAGGGTGGTCAGGAAAGTTGTCAATGAGAAGATGAGGGAGGTAGGTCTTTTTTAAAACATCCAATAGCCATTTGAATGTTTAATGGTCCTTAACCTCCGCATATATCCCTAGATTTAATGATCATTTGACTACTCCACACTGATAGAAGGGCTATTTCCTCTTCTGCTCGTACCTGGGAGAGAGAGGTGTGCAGCACTCTCCCAACTAGAAGATGATCTTGTGCAGACTCACCTCCCAGCCCCGGCCCTCCTCTTAACTGCTCATGTCTCCACTTTTCCGGTCCTTTATGAGTCTCTTCTTTGAATCTTTGTAAGTGATTTTTATGATGACTGCTGACATCTAGAGAGAAATACGACCAGAGCTAGGTATCTAGTAGAAAATTCTAGGGTAGTAGGAACTTTTTAAGACACAGTGTCACAATGCTGCCTCATCCTTCAACTTATTCTCTGCTCCCTTGATCTTCCTTACCAGGTCATAATAATAACTTAATCATGCTGGCCTACCATTTGTTGAGCATTTAACATGTGTCAGTTAAGCACTTTATATGCATTTTTTAACCTACTTCCTTACAATTATGAGATAGGTACCACTATCTCTGTTTGCAGAGGAGGAAAGTGAGGCACAGAGAGAGTTTACGTATCTTGCTGAAGATCATGCAGGCAAAAAATGGTATCGCTTGATTCCATAGTCCATCTTTACATTTCTTTATAATAGTAGCCAGTTGAATTTTGCCAATATCTTTGGTACCCTTGACTATAGGATACAATTATATCATTTAAATATTATTTATTAGGTCTCTCACATCAGGTGGATACCCCAACATCCCATACAGTAGTTTAAAAAAAATTTTTTTTTTTTTTGCACAAATGCCCAAAATATGTGTAGGTTTTTGGCTTTGAAAGAAAGCAGTTTTTGTTTTGTTTTGTTTTGTTTTTGGTTTGTTTTGTTTTTGTTTTTTAAGATTCCATTCACAGTATTAAAAATGGTTTGCCTGATCCTGAATGGCTCATTAACAAAGACTGATTTTAAACTTCAAAAGCTGTCGTTATCCTCACCTAAAAGAACAAAATATTTTCCTTTACACTCTTAAAAAATAGTTTTTTACCTTTTTTTATCTTTTCCTAAGATGCCTCCCATTTCCTGCTTTAATGTATAGGCATGAATTTTAGACATATTAATTTCTAACTGCTGTTTTTATTAGCTATTGCCACTATATAAATAAGCAAGAGGAATTTCATTCCCTACTGAATAGCTGTGCTGACAATGTGAAAGACATCTGTAAAAATGGCTTCACATGCACTCCTGAATAAAATTCTGGAAGCTGCTGCAGACATATACTGATTTATAAGAAAGACATAGCTCTGTCTTCTGAAAATCACAAAAAACTGGAACTGATATGGCTTGTCAGTACACAATCTGAACAGGTAAGTAAATTAATAAAATACATTTTATAGGAACATATAATCACACAGGAAGTTGAAAATAAGATGACCAGTGGTGTTTTAATTACATACAGTAGTTAAAAAAAAATTTTTTTTTTTTTTTGCACAAATGCCCAAAATATGTGTAGGTTTTTGGCTTTGAAAGAAAGCAGTTTTTGTTTTGTTTTGTTTTGTTTTTGTTTTGTTTTGTTTTTGTTTTTTAAGATTCCATTCACAGTATTAAAAATGGTTGAGAAAATCAGCTGGGTCCTCTTTAAGCACAACAGAAAGTAACATATTCCTTAGGCTGGTGTTTACTTCAATAGAAATTTTATATTTGACTTGTCGGCAAATCAAGAATAATTTGGCCATAGCTTTGGGAAGCCAGATGCTGATTACCAGATCCCTTCTTCCTTATCAATAACTTCCTGTCTTGGGAATATCCACTTGCTCAAATGATAAATGTTGACTCAACTAAGTAAAATGAATTCCATTCATTTTATTACTGATGCAACCTCCGAGAGAGAACTAGCTTGAAACATTTGTATGAACGTTTGTACTTATTTATAAGTTGTTGTGCTTGCTTCGGCAGCATGTATACTAAAATATTTATAAATTGCAATTAGGCCCATAGATTTTTTAAAAAGCAAAACAAAATATAATGTCATTCAGCTGAGATTTGACACCAGCTGGCACTGCTTATTAGGAAAAGTAGTTATGGGTACAATAAAAGAAAAGCAGGTTGGGTAGTAGAGGTAACCACTTTCTTTTAGGAGGCACTAATTTCATTTCTTTGCTGCTGGTGGCTCAGTCCTAAGAAGCAGGCAATTGCAGCTCACTATAAATCAAAAAATATTTAATGACCTGAGAACATGCTCACAATAGACAATCAAGTGAAAAAAAACGGAATACGAAACTTGAATTTGAATTCAACTTGTTATGCTATACATACATGCAAATATTAATAGACATAACTTCTGGGTGACAGGACATGAATGATTTTTCATGCTTTCCTTTTTCTTTTCATGTATCTCCTAAATTTTTTAAAAATTAAATTTATTAGGAAACATTGGTTAATAACATTATATAAATTTCAGGTATACAAAATTATAATTCAATGTCTACTCTATTGTGTGCTCACTACCTAGTCTATTTTTTTGTCCCCCTTTATTTGTCCCCCTTTACCCGGTTCTCCCTCTCCCACCCCCCTTACCCAATGGTAACCATCATTCCGTTGTCTGTGTCTCTGAATTTGTTTTTGGTTATTTTTTTTAGTTCATTTGTTACTTTTTTGTTTTATATTCCACATATGAGTGAAATCATTGTTTTTGTTCTTTTCCATCAGATTTATGTTACTTACCATAATACCTGCAAAATCCATCCATGTTGTCAAAAAGAATAAAATACCTAGAAATAAACTTAACAAAAGAAGTAAAGGACCTGTACACTGAAAACTAAAAGACATTATTAAAAGAAATTGAAGAAGACACAAAGAAATGGAAAGATATTCCATGTTCACAGATTGGAAGAATTAACATTGTTAAAATGGGCATATTACCTTAAACAATCTACAGATTCGATGCAATTCAATGCATCTTTCACAGAAATAGAGAAAAAAAATCCTCATATTTGTACAAACCCACAAAAGATCCCAAATAGCCAAAGCAATCTCGAGAAAAAAGAACAAAGCCAGAGTTGTCACACTCCCCAATTTCAAACTATACTACAAAGCTGTAGTAATCAAAACAGTATGGTATTGGCAGAAAAAAAAACACACAGAGACCAATGAAACACAACTGAGAGACCAGAAATAAATCCACACATATATAGGCAAATAATTTATGACAAAGCAGCCAAAAATATACAATGGAGAAAAGAAAGTCTCTGCAATAAATAGTGGTTGGAAAACTGGAGAGCCATATGCAAAAGAATAAAACTAGACCACTGTCTCATAGCATACACAAAAATTAACTTAAAATGGATTAAAGACTTGAATGTAAGACCTGAAACAATAAAATGCATAGGAAAAAACATAGGCACAAGCTTCTGGACATTGGTCTTAGAGGTATTTTGTGAATTTGACTCCAAAGACAAGGGAAACAAAAGCAAAAATAAACAAATTGGACTACATCAAACTAAAAAGCTTCTGTACTGCAAAAGAAGCCAACTTTTCTACAGTAAGCATCTATTACATATATGAGCCAGATGGAAAAAACTATTGTTTTTTTAAACTACATTGATCAAGTCTACCTAAGTTTTCTCTGTAAACCCTTGTCACTGAGTCAATTGCAATAAGTTTTGAATAATAACCAGTGATTTTATAGCAGTCGATTCTAATGAGAATCACTGAACCACAGTTGAACCTTGCAAAGTCATCTTCCTCATAGCTCAGTCTCTACAGGGTCACATTTAAATGATTCCAACCAGATGCAAATTGTACTTCCATATAGACTCCAAAACAGGGATTCCAGAGGTTTTTGCATAAACCTCTTAGAAGTTCTGTCTTAAATTTTCCAAATATCTGAGAGAGATATCCAAGGTATCTCGTAGCTTTATTTTCTCATGGGAAAGATAAAAGAGTACTCAGAAACAAAACAGTAAGATTTCCGGGAAAGTTATTCAGTGT